ATTGCTGCTGGAGACCAAGTGGGATGAAATGACTTGACATATATGGCTGCTGCAGTAGCATGAGGGCAAGCCATGGAAGTTCCTGATATTATATTGAAGTTTGACTCCCTCTTGTCTCCTTTCACACCTGAAATAGGCGAAATGGGAGACCAAGCGGCTATGATATCTACTCCTGGGGCAGCTATATCAGGCTATAACAACACAAACAGTAGAATAATCATTTCAATAACTGATTGAACCTAAAAAAGGTTAGCAGCAAAATTTACAACTAGCTAGCTGTGACGACCCTACCTTGAGAATGTTGGGAATAATTGTGTTTGGACCCCTTGAAGAAAAGGAAGCTATGTAAGGGGAGAAAGGATCTTTGCCTTCATTACTCTTATATATAGTAGCAGTTGGATTGCTGCAGAAATTGGTAGATCATTGAACAAAGAAGATTTATTGATCAATAGGAGCAAAGGAACCAAATATAATATGATCTCTCTGATGACCTATACCTTGAAGAAGACAAGTAAGAGAGAATGGGCAAGCCATCATTTAGATTAAGCATAGCGAGAGCAAGAGGAAAAGCAAAGCGAGATGCTGAATCTGTTGGGTAATTGGCCAGAACCACAACCCCAACCGCCCCAGACACTAGTCCTGTAGCATCATCTGGAAGCCTATCACACAAAACGATTTTCCCCTTCACCATCGCTTCATCCAACGAGTTTTCAATGCAAAACCTATCCAGCAATTAATTATTAGGATATAATTCTAATTCTTCATTTCTTTCAATATATTAGATCACATTCTATGATATAAAAATAGTAACAATAGTAACAACAACAATAATACCTTGATATCGAACTGTTAAATCCACCAGTGATATTGGGTGCATCTCCAGAGTAAATCAAGGGGTAAGTTTTATTTTGGAGATCAAAGGTGTTCGTCGAAATTCCCTGCATGTAAAGTGGGTTATCTAAGATATAATCATTCTCACTGATTTCTCAAAGTAATTATAAAAATCATTAACCAAGAAAATGAGTGTTACCTCAAAAACCATGTCATTTCCCAATTGAACCTTGGTGAAGAACTTTCTATCTATCGTGGATGCAGCCACAGAAAGCATCCAGGGAGCAGCTTTAGTGGTGGTCGAAAGGTTTGGACCCAAGTTGTTGCCAGAAGTTGAGGTTAGAATTCCATTCTTCATTGCATGGAAAGATCCAATTGCGTACACGTCCCCAAACAAGTCACGATGTGTCACAGATTGATAGCCAAGTGATACAGAAAGTATGTCGACGCCATCAGCGATTGCTTCGTCAAATGCTGCCAGAATGTCAGCTGTATTACAACCTGATGACCAACAGGGTTTGTACACAGCAATGCGAGCTGATGGTACTCCCCCTCTCGCGGTGCCCGAGCCCAGCCCATATAGACTTGCTGAGCTAACCAGGTTTCCTGCAGCTGTGGAGGCACAGTGAGTGCCATGGCCATCCAAATCCCTTGGAGATTTAATATCATCTTCGCCAACTGTAACATCCACCCGAAAGTATTTTGCTCCAATTATCTTGCTGCATATAGAGAGAGAGAGAGAGAGAGTGATATATGACATGCACGCTTCAATTTAATCCTTTATATATATATTGTTGACTTAGCAAAAGTACATTGATGTATACTTATTGCAAGTGATGTTTTGGCAAGAGCCTTTCCATTTTCTTGGTGGTGAACTAAATCCTCGGTCGTTGAAGCTATCTGACTCGGGCCAAATTCCGGTATCGATTACTCCGACAATGATGTCACTCTCCACACTTGTTCTGTTCACTTGCTGTGGAAAACCTATGAAGTCCCATGACCGCGTTGTTTGGAGCTTGTGCTTTTCGCTTAGGAAAACAGAGATCACCCCATCCATTTCTGGTGAACATGGTATTATGTTTAGTACATACTCTCTTGTACCTGCTTGACGAGGTTATAAATGAAGAGAATAGAAACATCTAAACCATATATACCGGCCATCCTTTCAGCTTGCTCTGGTGTTAACCTCACCGCAAATCCATTGAAACTCTTCTTGTAGCTGTGCAGCAGAGTTTCTGGTGCAAAGTTTCTGAACCAAAAGCAACTTGGATGGTTAATTTCTCGTGAGACTTTCTTTCAATCAGAGAGACAGAATTGAACTTATAAAGTGATCATCAAATAACCCTTTTTGCTAATAGGTCCAGGAATAAAGCTACAATTCAGTTAGATACAATGAGTTAAAGACGCAGTTTAAGAACCTGCCAAGGACTTTTTGAACCATACTCGTGTGATGTAATTCTGCGACGTCTTTCATTTCCTTCGCATGATCCCCCATGTACACGATGTATGTCCGTATCTTCAGAATGTGAGAGAAAACATTTTAAGCATTTTACTCTTAAACTTCAGTGAATTAGAAAAGAAAATTGAGGTAAAATAATCAACAAACACAGACAGACAGACAGACAGACAGACAGATACGGCGAGAGAAAGAGGGAGAGATTATTGTACATTTGGATCATCGCAATGCGTCTGAATAATAAGGAGACCGCAAAAGAGAGAAAGGAGGAGATGGCAGGTGCTTAGAGAAAACATGTTTAAATTTAGTTATGGAAATGATAGAGCTTCAAGTTTTGCTATGTATCTCTGGAGACTCAAGAAGTTTTGTTATATATATGTCTCAGGGCGAGACGTACGTTTGGTGTAGACAATTGCGTTTCATGGTATGGTTTCTGAGGTGTAAGAATCGCAACTTGTTAGTGATAGTGTCATTAAATTCTCGATAATGAATTTGATTAGATATCAATTTATTTTAATTACGTGGGACAAGTACGTGACACAGACATCATCATTGATATTTCACAAGATGGATTTCTTCCCTTGTGAACATAAGAATTTTGAAGTCTTCTCTCATATATGTTTGGCTTGGATCATCCAAATTCGAGTTGCAGAAAAGTCGTAAGAATGACTAATTCAGTGCCGTGAGACATATCCATTATCATTAATTATCGAGGACAGTGGAGTAGTGTTTCAACTTTCAAGGAAGGTTCGGCTGTTGTTTTCTGTTTCATGAATGACTCCGAAAGATATAAATCAAAGGTCAAGCAGCAGCAATAATGCCGGCGATGTCATACCCAATTGACCAATTCGTGTTTTTGACTAGTATACTAACTCTGATCTTAATTATAAAAGCCAGTTGACTAATTTGAGAAAATTAAAGAAGTAAGTTGAGCAAGTTATTTATCCTAAATAGGTGTTGTCTTTCCTAAAATATCGTTACTAATCAAGTATATTAATTAGAACTATTATTGTTAGAAGGGCTACTTTGGAAAAAATATATATATATGAGAGACAAAGTAGATTGGGATCTTATATTTAGAATCAAATTAAAAGTCAAACAGGGTTTTATATTAAGGACCGGAGGTAGTATATGTTTCGCTAATTCATTAGATGGTGTTTTTACTTGATAAATACATAGGAATAAAAAATTTTATTTTACTTTTATTTTTTATAAATAAGATAAAGAAATTATTTTTGCAACATTATATTGTTGAATATTTTAGCATATTTTTATTAAAAATGGTTTGACTTAATCATCCCTTTTTTAAACACTATAATTATCCTCCATTAACAATTAAACTAATATCCCTATAGTATAGTATATAGAGAATAAAACATATACAATTCCCAACTAGGATTAATACCATATACACAAGCGGACTTGTCCTTCTTGTTCATGAATCTTGTCTATTTACGAAAGTTGGAGCTGAAGGATTCGACTATCGTTTGAGATTTTACTGTGAATCGGTGTTGTGATTTTGAATAAATCCGAGTTAATTGCATTAACTCAATGCTTTTTTTCCCCTTGATAAAGGGCAACAAAAAAGGCTGAAACACAAATTTATGTTTGAAATTTGTTGAAGCCACTAAGTGAAAGGTGACGTAATGTTATTCCATAAATTTAAGGGAAAATCACTATCATCAAATCCTTAAAAAAAAAAAGAATATAATTATAAAAAATCTCAATTCATCATTCACTACTTACAAAACTTTTTTACTGATTACATTCATTTTTTGGGACCACCCAGTAATTTTTTCTGAATCTAAAAGATGGAATAAATGTTGTCATAACTTCTGTTATTTTGACAATTCGTGAACAAGAAAATTAGAGTGTTCACCTGAAAAATTTTACTCATCAAGGGCAATGTTTTTGAAAACAGAGCCAGACCAAATGATTTGATCGGTTGAGCCGTTGTCAAACTCACTAATAACTGTTTATATGGAGGAATCAAAACGCGTACTGACATAAAGTCATGTAAAAGGGTTTGCACATGGATGGGGAAAAGTCTATGCGAGAAAGGAAGACATAACCAAATTAAAGCTATTGGAAGTTAGAAGTACACAGCAATATATTCCTCCAATCTTTTTTATAAGTCACGTGTTCGAATTACAAAAAAAATCTTGAACTTCATTAATTTTTATTTAAAATTTAACAACATTTTATTTTTATCCCTATTTAATATATATTAAACCGCATGTAAACAAAGTTAATATAGTAATAAATAATGGGTAAAATTATACATCCGTACAAAATTTTTTTCTCAACATCTTATAAATAGGACCAAAAAATTATCTTGTCTCTCTATCCTATAAATAGGACCAGAGAAACACGTGCAAGTTTGATGCTAACGTGGAAGAAGATAATAGTAAAAAAATACATTGGGGGACATAGTATAAGCCCAATAATTAAAGGTCCAGCAGATCAAAGCATATTAAAAGGAATAACAAAAACTTAGCTACATATGTCGTGATGTAGTAGTATTCTGTATTTGTGACACGTGCATTCTTCACCTAGTACAATTGATGCTTGATGATCAATGTATGGCCATCACTAAGTACTAAACACCACAACAGGGCTTCTCACTTGGAAATTACCATCGTCCCATATCAAAGAAGCTGAGACTATTCCCACACTTATTCTTCCTTCAATTGTAATCGTGAATGACTTCTTCTCACCCACTGATGAGAACGACAAAAGTCCTACGAAACAAATTGCCAAAAGATACTGAAATGTTTCTCTTTAGAGTGAATGATGGAAGATTGAGGTCCCACACTGTTTCATTCTTAGTTTTCTTGCAATTGATGTGACCATCCATAATGTATCGCAGAAATTTTGTTTTGTAACCTTGTCCACACAAGAATCTCACATAATCTGATTCACTGGTGTCATATACTAAACCAGGACTCACTGCCTTAATGGGATTAATCTGCCCAGCACCACATGCGAATTCAGCGTCTGGGTTGAGCATAGAACTCATAGGAGTGGCTGCAATATAATATCTTGGGGGGGGGGGGGAAGAGCAGCTTGGCAAAGATCCTGAAACCAATTAATATTGATGGATGAATTAATTACCAGTGGTCATTAAGGCAGACTTAATTGCCCCTGGGGACCATGGGGAATGAAATGATTTGACATAAGCTGCTGCTGCAGCAACATGAGGACGAGCCATGGAAATCCCAGATCTTATATTGAAATTTGATACTCTCTTGTCGCCCTTCACGTTTGAAACTGGAGAAATGGGAGGCCATGTGGCTATGATTTCTGCTCCAGGAGCAGCTATATCGGGCTATAACAACATAAAGATCAAAATAATTCTAAATTATTGAAGAGAACCAGAACAAGTATTTATATCCAATTTTGATGACTCCACCTTGAGAATGTCAAGAATAATTGGATTTGGGCCCCTTGATGAAAAGGAAACTATGTAAGGGGACAAAGAATCTCTGCCTTCATTACTCTTAAATATTAGCTATTGGATTACTCCAGAAAGTGGTTACTCCAATCATATATATAAAGGGGGAAAAAAGTCTCAGAACTAACAATAACCAGATTTCATATGAATATATGTTCTTCTTTGGTGTTTAATGAATCTGTATCTTGTTGAATTTAAGTAGGAGCTTATGGTTGTGCCATCTTTTAGAGTAAGCAAGGTAAGGGGAAGAGCAAACACAGATGCCACATCTTTTGATGAAATGAATAGAAGAACAACACCGATCGTCCCTGACACTAGTCCTGCTCTCTCTTTTGAGAACCTATCACATACAATGATCTTTCCCTTCACCTTTGCTTCATCCAAAGAGTTCATTAGGCATGATTCGTAACATCTTAATTTTTATTCTAAAGATTTAAATATTTAAAAATTTAAAAAAGGGTTTCAAGCTGTCGTTTCTTTCGTTTTAAAGAGGGTTTTTAACTTCAGTTTATCCCGAACGTTTTTCACTTTTCTTTTCCCACTCTCTTCATGTCTGTCGCAGCATTGTTCTCTCTCCAGTTTCTTTCTCCATCATTACATTCATTTTGTTAAGTAAAATTACTTCTAATTATAAAATTTTCTTCATGAAAATCATTCTACTTAGTTAGATCTACAATAATGTGGTTAAATTTTTAAATATTAAAATCAACGAATGGACAAATCCAAACTGATAGAAATAATCTATTATAATAGATCCATAATATTATAGTTCACACTCATCAAAACTAAATACTTACTCAAAATTCTATACTAAAATTTTTTTTTTCAAGCAATATAAAATTATTATCATTAGATAGATCTAACTAAGTAGAATGATTTTCATGAAGAAAATTTTGTAATTAGAAATAGTTTTACTTATCAAAATAATCTGTAATGATGAAAAAAGAAATGAGAGAGAGAACGATGCTGCGGAGGACATGAGAGAGAGAGAGAGGAAAAGAAAAATGACGAGGGGAAAAGAGAAATGAAGAGGGGTGGCAGTAAAAAGAAAACATTTTGGTGATAACATAAAATTACTACTACCTCCCCTTATATAAAAACTAGATTGAAATATATTAATAAAATTAGTTCGGTCAGTAATTTATCACAAATGTAAGTTGACCTTAAATTACTACTTCCGATCCTAATTATAAGAACTAGTTGACTAATTTAAAAAGATTAATGAAATAAGTTAAGTTAGTTGTTTGTAATATATAGGTGTTGTCTTTCCTAAAATATCCTTGTCAATCAAGTATATTGGCTAAAACTACTATTATTAGAAAGACTTTCTTGTAAAAAAATACATAAATATAAGAGACAAAGTAAATTGGGATCTTATATTTAGAATCAAAATAAAAATCAAATGAGGTCTTATATTAAAGACCGGAGATAGTATTATTTTTAATAATGTGTATTGGAATACCTTTTGGTGATAACATATTATAATCAATAAGGATATTTTAAAAGAAAAAAGAGAGAGAATCAAAATAAATCGAGGTTTTATATTTCTAATTAATAAAATCTCCAACTAGTTTTTATTAAGGATTAGAAATAGTATTTCAAAAAATTTGTTTCATTTTACTCCTTCCCTTCCCATTTCTAGACCAGAAATTTGGAGGGTGATTTGTTTCATTTATAAAACAAATTATAAAATTTGAGATAGATACATTTTTTTTTTTCAATTTTCTCCTATTTAATATAAGAAATGGCTTGCTATAAATGTTGCATTCTCGATATAAATTAATTAAGTCGGTTCAATCGGCATATGAGAATAGAGTAATTTTGTCCTACAGATGAAAACAGAGGAAGATTATACTCATTTTATTACAATTTAAACTTGCTCAGAAAAATTTGAAGCCAAAAAAAAAAAACCTCGTTCAGACAAATATGAAATAATTGAATAAATGAATATAAAAGGCGAAGAGATCAAATCTATTTAATATATTTGTGAATTTTTTGTAATCCTATATTACTATCTAGTAGTAGCACAGATAGGCCTTATCAGCTTGTTTGTATTGTTCCTTGCATCGATTTATTCAACGTTCGATAGTAGTGACAATAGCATAATCTACTGAGGTGAATTGAACACAACAACAGGGCTTCTCACTTGGATCTTGCCATCACTCCAAACCAAAGATGCCGACACTACAGATGCTTCCAAGCTTCCCTCAACACTCAGCACAAAGCTCTGCTTTTCACCATAAGAAGTGAATGAAAGAACACTTGGGTTCACTTGGATTTTCAGCCCCAGAGGACTAATCACAGTGGCTTTATATGTGGGTTTTTCTGACCCAACATATGTAACAGTTCTTTTAAAAATGCCACTTACAGTGACGTTGGAGGGAGGGGTTGGAAGAGCAAAGGAGGGATAGTTGAGATCACTAGCTTTAGCTGATACAGAACAGCTGCTATTATCCCCTGTGACAAGCTGTAATGTCCTTGTGCTATACCCTTGTCCACATAAGAATCTCACAAATCTATTTTCACCGGCATCGTATACTAAGCCAGGATTTATTGCCTTTATTGGATCGATTTGACCGGCTCCATATGCAAACTCTGCATCTCGGTTAATCCAAGGACTCAGCGGTCTAGCTGCAACCAACAACACATAACATGATATCTGTTCGGTTTTGTGCAATTCTACGTTGCAACAACTTAAATGTGAACAAATGACAGAAGATGGATTACCAGTGGTCATCAAAGCCGATTGAACAGCAGAAGGGGACCATGTAGGATGGAATGATTTAACGTAAGCTGCAGCCCCAGAAACATGTGGACAAGACATGGATGTTCCTGAGATTATGTTGAACTGCAAACTTCTGTTGTCGCCTTCAATCCTAGAAATAGAGCCTTTCGGAGACCAACCAGCGAGAATCTCGACTCCCGGAGCCACTAAATCCGGCTAAAGAAGAAGGGAGACATTTGTAATGAACATAAAAAATCTGTAACATGTGTATATTGAAGTGATTAAGTGATGATCAGACATAGAAAAGAGACCTTGAGAATATCAGGGGAAACAGGGCTAGGACCCCTTGCGGAGAAAGAGACTACCACAGGGGCCAATGAATCCTTTTCCTCGTTAGTTTTAAATATGGTTGCAGTCGCATTCCTGCAAGTTTGGTTAAGGAATTCTAATTAAAAAAGGTGCTATTCACGTGACTTGGTTAATAGATAACGGAAACCTCAGCTAATGGTTAATACTTGGTGGCATTAATGTAGACAAATATATTGTTGGCGTCCTCCAAGTCAATGTACGAAGCGGGCAAGGGGAAAGAGTAGCCATGGTCTCTGGAATTCTGACCTTGTGCAACGGCACCAGCAGCTTCAGCCACAAAGGCACCTTCTGCTCTGTTTCTTCCCTCACAAAGGACAATTTTACCCTTAACTAAATTTGGATCCAATGAACCTCGACTGCAAGACCTGCACTTTTAACAGTATCTCGTGAACAACACTAAATCATTATGTCCCACGTCTTCTCCTAAAGGATTTCAAGGCTTTATCACCTTGATGCAGATCCATCAAAGCCTCCTCTCGTATTTGTTGCGTCTCCTCCGTAAATTATAGGATACTGTTGTTCGTTCAGGTCAAATGTATTTATTGAAACTCCCTAGACATAGGACAAGGAGATTGCCATTCATTAAACATTAGAAAAATTGTGTCAAATTTTTTTTTTTGGACAAAACTTGATGTCTGGCTTTTAGCTGACATTAACTACCTCAAATGTTCTGTTGTCACCTAATCCAACCTTTGTAACCAACTTTCTGTCGATGGTGCTAGCGGCCACAGAAATAGCCCAAGGTTCAAAATTACCAAGCGATCCGGGACTTGGACCTGAATTTCCAGCAGAAGTTACCGTTAAAATTCCACGTCTCATAGCATGAAAAGCTCCAATGGCAATTGCATTTCTGAAATAATTCTTATCATTCAACCCTCCAAGAGAAACTGATAATATATCGACCCCATCAGCAATGGCATCATCAAAAGCTGCGAGAATGTCTGCATCATTACAACGACGCGACCAACAAACTTTATAGACAGCAATGCGTGCTGATACAGCACCCCCTCTTGCTGTTCCTGGTGCTAACCCTAACATGCTTGCCTGGCTAACTGGGTTCCCAGCTGCTGTGGATGATACATGAGTCCCATGACCATGATAGTCTCTTTGAGACATTTCTTCACCTTCGAATGATCCAGCGTAATTGTAGTACTTTGCCCCAATGATTTTTCTGCAATGACAGCAAAATCTCTTGGTATGGATAACATGATCTTTATCAATTTGACGGTTCGACATGCAGTTTACTAAAACTAGATAGTTTGTACATGTATAGGAGAATTATATATATATATATATATATATATATAAATAATAGACACACCCACACCTGTTGCAAGTGAAGTTAAGACATGTGCCCTTCCATTTCTTTGGGGGCGGACCCAATCCTTTGTCACTGAAGCTCTCGGATTCCGGCCAGATTCCAGTGTCAAGAACTCCAATGATGACATCACTTTCGGTCGTGGCTCTCTGCACGTTCTGTGGGAAGCCAATGAAGTCCCAAGACCTTGTTGTGTGGAGTTGTCTCATTCGATTAGGGAACACAGAGACCACCCCATCAAGGCCTATATGCATTGTGAATTTTATGGGTTAACGTATAACTCTGAATCGAAGACAGAGCAAGGAAGTTATGAAGAAGGCAAGTATAAATGGTCTTCTTGCTCACTTGACATTGTTTCTGCTTCTTTCTCTGTTAGCTTCGCAACAAAGCCATTGAAACTCCGTTTGTAGTGATGGAGAAGTGACTTGGGCACAGCATCGCTGAAGTTACGGATACAAATTGAGAATTTAAGCATCATATTCAATTTTCAATCTATAAGATTACAGAGTACACTGAACTTCCTACATAACCTCTTTCTCTCAAACAGTAATATCTTACTCATTTTAACACGCAATCTTTCTTCTTAATCTTATCAGGAAACTTCGATGAAAGTAATTTACTGTCGGATATATAAATTATCCTTGTATGTTCATTTTAGAAGTTTCAGCTTGTAAGATAGAATCATATGTTAGACCTAGAAATTTCTAGTTTTTTAAGTTGAGTAATATTACCTCTCAGAGGCCCTTTGCAGCAATCTTGTGTACTGTGACAAGGCAGAATCTTCATCACTCTTGCTGTTCCCAGTGTAGACAATGTAAGTCTGCATTATCGGAAGACATAATTAATAACCAGAAACTGAATCATTTGAATTCAAAAGCCAAGACAAAGCGACAAAAACTTGCTTGACCTTGAGTTCATCTGAGGAAGAAGAGTGACATTTGATCAGAAGAGAAGCAAAGCTAATAAGTGAAATCAACAACAACAGAGGAGCAGAGGATCTGCTGTCCATTTCTGAAGTTCGTCTTGGAGTAATGACCTATCAACCTTAACCAACGTGTGTTTGTATAGAAGAACAAGGAAAACTAAAATTCCACAGATTCTTGGAAAATGCATGCATATTCTTCTTCTATCAAGTTCATCAGTTTACTTTTCCAAGAAGCTTTTGGTAAGGAATAGTATCCACCAATCAAGCAAAACACGTGTTAAGATAAAGTCGAGAGAAAGGATTTATTTGATACGTCCGTGGAGGGGAAGAAAAGTCTACACGAGGGAGAAGACATGGCCAAAGCTGAATAACATGGAGCTAGTGAAGCTATCATTGTACAGCTCTCTTAATTGATACTTGATTGGGACACGATTTGGCAATGATTTTCGTATCTTGTCATCTGCGTTCTTGTTCACCAGTAAAAATGGTGATTTTCGCTGTCGTGCCTAGTGGTTCCAAAGCAATCCAGGTTAAAGAACGAAGGCCCCCAAGTAGGGCTGAGATTACCGTCAGTTACATATGTCCAAGTACGTAAATTAATAGGAACAGATGATAAAATATCTTGCATTTCATGTCGAGGATAGTCTGGGAAATATTTGAAGCGTTGTGTTTTGTGAGGTGAAGGAGCGTGAACGCATTAAAAGAGAACGTTGGATGTAAATGCTGTGTTTTTTAGATGCAGTAGCTGGCTTTCATCGTTGGAATAAATTCCAATAGCATTTATTATGACTAGGCCAAATTTTACGGTATTTAATGTTTGAGCTGAAAATATATAGTTCCCTCGCCATGTTTATTAGATAGATTGAAGGTTTTTCTTCATCTTATTTATAAGTCATTTTACTTAATTTTTAATATAAATGTATTATTTTGTTCTTCATTTATTATAATGTAAACAGTTATTTTTTTAAAGTTGTATATATTAAATAAGGGTAAATTGAAAAATTACTATACTTCTTCTTGTCCTTATTATAAGCTTCAAATAACTAATTTATGAATAATCAAACTATTAGTTAAAATTACTTAAAAGCAACAAATATGTTAGAAATATAGTTTTGCTTTCAAATATGCCCTTATAATAAATGAGAAAAATGATAAAAGAGAATGCTTCAAAAAATATGACAAGAAAAGCATGATAAATGAGAGAGAATAAAAATTAAGGGCAAAATTATAAAAAAAAACATTAAATATTAAGATAAGTCTGAAAATGAAGCTTATAAAATAGATCACATCTCTTTTCAAATTTGAACCTTATAAATAGAACAGTATATTTCAAGAGAGGGTTAGTGTAGTTTAAAGTTTTTCTTAATCTGCATAAAACGTGCTAAAAATTCCCTGTAAATAGAACCAAAAGAGTATTAATTGCTCCGGTCTATAATATAAGATACTCTTCTAGTCCTATTTATAAGTCACGTCCAATATATTTTACACAAACCAAGAAAAACTTTAAACGTTATTAACTCATTTAAAATTCAATAACTTTTCAATTTTATCTCTATTTAATATATATTATACCACATATAAATAAAGTCAATACAATAATAAATAAAAAAATAAAATTGTATATCCATATAAAAAATTCCTCTCAGTGCCCTATAAATTAGATCAAAAAATATCTTCTCTCTCTGTCCTATAAATAGGACCAGAGGAGTATTAGTTATGCTTTATCTTGAGTTCATCTAAGGAAGAAGAGTGACATTTCAGTAAAAGTGAAGCAAAGCTAAGAAGTGAAATCAACACCGGAGCAGCAGAAGATCTGCCGTCCATTTCTAAAGTTCGTCTAGTAGCGATGATATAACTTTGTGGCATGTGCGTATAGATGAAGAAACCAAAACGCGTATTGATATAAAGTCGTGAAAGGATTTGGACGTGCATGGAGAAAAGTCTACCCGAGAAAAGAAGACATGACCAAAGCCATCGGAAACTATGAATATAGAGAGCTCCATCTTATTGATTACTGAGAAGGACACGATTCCTACGGTTAACCCAATGTTCCTCGTCATTTGGAATTGCATTCACATGGTGAACCTTAACTATCAGAGATATGTCCAACGTACGTAACATTTCAGTCCAAGTTTTCGATCCTAACGTTCTCACGCATGGACCGCCAAGTCTATGATTATTTGCCCATGCAATCTGCTCCGACAAATCTGCTGCGCCACGTTTCAGTAATGATATTGATTTTTTCAAAGCAATATACATGTAAGCTTGATACTGAAGTGTAGGAAATTATATTGATGGTTTTAGGTAGTGGAAAGGTCGGAGGACCTTGTGTGGCGATGATTAACTGCTCGTACAATGTGGTTGGCTTCTTTCGTCAATTCTGATTCTTAATTATCAGACGGTGACTTGTAACTTTCTTCTTGTCGGGGGAAATAAGACGGCACGAAGTCTTATGTCCAAGTGGCGAGGAAAGTTGAGTGACCATCGTCGCCTCCTCTATTGCGCGGACCGCGGAATACAAAGCCAACAACGGGTTTGTTCTTGACCAGCTATTAGCTAATATTAACTTGAGAAAATTTTGCTTATTCTAGACAATTGCGTTAACTCAATACTTTCTGTTTTTATTTTTCATTCCCGGCGCACAGAAGACATTGGATATTATAGCAAAAAGAAAGAAATTAAAGAAAGAAATAAGGAAATTGGAAATAAAAACATCAAGGGGGCATGATTTAAAAAAAAACTTTTACGATATACAAAGTAAATATGTGAAGGAATATATTTCGATTTATGAAAAAATGTTTTTTAGAAACACTTTTGATGCTACCCAAACACCCCTGGATATTGGTAACTATAAATGATTTTTGGCTTTAACTTGATTTTTGGTCAAAAGGTTATTTACCCCCGAAGTCAGGCTAAATCCACACATTATTTTGAGCGTCAAATAGCTTTTCGGCTTTAAAAAGTCAAGCTAAAATCCAATCCTCATTTCCAGCCTCCAACGACTTGGAAGATTTTTCTGAAAATTTTATTTTTTTCATCATGTCAAATATAAGTTTAATTCCTTCACTTCGAAATTCTATATCTACGCCTATATATCATATTCCAACGTTTCAGTAATGATATTGATTTTTCAAAGCAATATACATGTAAGCTTGATACTGAAGTGGAAGAAATTATATTGATAGTTTTATCTTGTCGGTGGAAATAAAATTGCACGAAATCGTACGTCCAAGTGGCAAGCCAAGTTGAGTGATAATCGTGGCCTCCTCTAGACTGGTTTAGAGCTTGATTTGTGCGTTGGCATATGAATGATAAATGCTTTTATCTCTTGACTAAAATTTTAAGCAGAGAACGTATTTTAAAATATTTTTAGAAGTCTTTAGGATAGTTTTATTTTATTTTTTTCTAATTTAACATTTTTCCCCTGTCTAAGTTATCGTCACTTGCACTATAATTTAACATTTTAATAATAATTTTGAAAAATTAAAATTTGAATGGTTAAATTATCAACCTAAAGGTTAGAAAACGAAGAAGACGGAAAGGGAAGGCCTGAACAAGACCAAGCCAGTGCCCCGTCTGCTGGTTGTCATCGTCCCAATTTTTTTTTTTAAAATATAAAGGCAATTTATTCAACTAACGAGTGCATGATTATTAATCAACTTAATTGTCTCTATGTCTTTTATGTTTCTTTTCTTATCAAGATTTGTTATTTCTGTTGGAAAATTAACTTTTATAATTTATTATCCTTTTATGTATTACTTTAAATTATACTCCTATCTATTTATCCTACTATGTATAATAGAACAAACAATTTGAAAAAAAAAACGATACAATAAAATCATAATGATCCCGCTCGATTCTTCAAAACCTTGGATTAAACTTCGGCATCAATTTATTCAACGTTTAATAGTAGTAATAAAATCATAATGATCTATTGAGGTGAATGAAACACAACAATAGGGCTTCTCACTTGGATCTTACCATCACTCCAAAGTAAAGATGCTGACACTATCGATGCTTCCAAGCTTCCTTCAACACTTACCACAAAGCTCTGCTTTTCACCACTAGAAGTGAAGGAAAGAACACTTGGGTTCACTTGGATTTTCAGTCCCGGAGGACCACTCACAGTGGCTTTGTATGTGGACTTTTCTGACCCGACATACGTGACAGTTCTTTTAAAACTGCCACTTACGGTGACGTTGGAGGCAGGGGTTGGAAGAGCAAAGGAAGGGTAGTTTAGATCACTTGCTTTAGCTGATACAGAGCAGCTGCTATTATCCCCTGTGACAAGCTGTAATGTCTTTATGCTGTACCCTTGTCCACATAAGAATCTCACAAAATCAACTTCACTAGCATCGTATACTAAACCAGGGTTCACTGCCTTTGCAGGATCGATTTGACCTGCTCCATATGCAAACTCTGCATCTCGGTTAATCCTAGGACTCAATGGCCTCGCTGCAACCACCCACACACATATCATGATATATGTTTACCATTTGAAACGACTTATTTAGCACCTGTGATAACATGTGGACAAATATAGTGTAAAGAAGCAAGAATAGAAGATTTATTACCAGTGGTCATCAAAGCTGATTGAATAGCGGAGGGAGACCATTCAGGATGGAATGATTTAATGTAAGCTGCAGCCCCAGAAACATGTGGGCAAGACATGGATGTTCCTGAGATTATGTTGAACTGCAAACTTCTGTTGTCACCTTCAATCTCGGAAACAGAGCCTTTCGGAGACCAGCCAGCAAGAATGTCAACTCCTGGAGCCACTAAATCTGGCTAAAGAGGGGAACATTTGTAATAAAGATAAGTCCCTAATCTATCTTTATAAATATTGAAGTGACAAAGTGATGATTAGCCAGCCACAAACAAGGTACCTTGAGAATATCAGGGGAGACATAGTTAGGACCCCTAGCAGAGAAAGAGGCCACCATAGGGGCTAATGGATCATTTTCCTCATTGGTTCTAAATATGGTTGCAGTTGGATTCCTGCAAGTTTGGAAAAGGAATTCTGTTAAAAAGAAAGGTATTATTCACATCACATTGTCAATAAATATCAGCAACTTCAGCTCATGGTTAATACCTAGTGGAATTAATGTAGGCAAATATACTATTGGCGTCCTGCAAGTCAATGTACGAAGCAGGTAGGGGGAAAGACCAGCCATAGTCTCTGGAATTCTGACCTTGTGTAAGTGCACCAACAGCTTTAGCCACGAAGGCACCTTCTGCTTTGCTTCTACCTTCACACAGAACAATTTTACCTTT